CCAGGAGTGGAATAGCAGGGGGACTATAGGTCAGGATAGAAGGGGTTAGCAGAGCTGTGGGGGAAGCCCAGAGCACTGGAATAGCAGGCAGGGTGCAGTTGGGATTCAGGGGTATTGGCAGAGCAGGGGGAGGAGAACTTGGGATAGCAGGGGGGCTGCAGGCTAACACTGAGGGACATGAGCAGGGCCTAGGACTCGACTAGAAAGCTATGCCCCAGAGGAAGATTATGGTGCAGTCTCAGGGCTGGAACAGCAGGTGGTGCTGCCGGTCAGGTTATAAAGTGCTATGACAGTGCGAGGGGCTACTCCATACTGGTGCTACCCAAGTAGCTCTAGCTGGAGTGCTCTATTTCTCCCCATTGTGGACATTAAAATCACAGATTGAAAAACAAACATGCTTTTAAAAAGAAAGCGAGAGACCATCTGCTCTGCCCTAGCAACTGCTCCGCTTAGTCCGTCTGTCTCCACATGCCTGGAGCATCTGGCATTAGCTCCCCAACCCATCCCTCCGCAGTGGGTAAGTGGTTATTCGCCTCGCATTACAGCGGTGGAAACTGAGGTACTGAGTGATTGGCATGACTTTCCGAAGGCCACATGGGCATAGGCAGGGGGAGAACCCACGATGCCCAGCTCCTGCCATGCTAACCCCAGCACCCGCAGTCACCCCCCAGTAACTTATCTAAGAACTGGATTGACGCGACCAAGAGCATTTGGGGACAATGGCTCATTTTTGGGACTAGCTTCACCCAACATCAGCTGCCACTGGCGAAGTTGGATGTAACTTTTCTTTCGGAAGGACAATGCAAATAAAGGACACTATAGCCAATGAAAGAGCAACCTTTTCAGCCTATAACCATGTCTTAGAGAACTCTGTGTGCTCTGATGTATAGCCAATGTATTTTGACACTTGTATATTTTTTATTTTTGCATAGAACTAGGACCAAACCCAATGCCAAATGCCAATTTCCAGATTATGTCCTTTGGTCTTGCCACCACCGGAAAGTAAGGAGGCAAAAATCTGTCCGTGTGGGACAGATCCCTTTAAGGAGTTGGTTTTTACATGGATGGCAGAACTCGGTGCAACTGATCCAAACAGGGCTAAGAAATGAGAAGCCTTTAATCACAGGTTAGATTTACATTCCATTGTCATTCGCACATAAACCCGGGTCCACAAAGGTTCCGGTCATCTAGCTGTCAAGAACTGGAAAGAGCACACAGGTAATGTAGCAGTTTCCTCATCAGAATCATTTGCCCTCCCCTAGCCTTAAGCCCCCTTAATGGATTTCCTATACATCTTTAAAAAAATGCACTTCTACTCTGGAAAATGACAATGTGAGAATGACACCTTCTGACTCAGTAGATCTGTCCCCTAGGTGCATCAAATCAGCCAACTTTAGTTGCTACAATAAACTTGGGCTGTGCAAAGTCAGTGCACGATGGATTCCGCTCCACAAAGGAATTAACAACTTACTTTGGTAATGCAGTAACTTACTTTTGGACATGCCTGGGTGGGTGGTCGGTAGTGGGGGTGAAACCAGGGAACTCTGGATCATCTCCTTCCAACTTGCTTAGCCACCCCATTTATAGCAGCCCCATCAATCTCTAATTAGCCTAGTCACCACCAGAGGGGGACAGAGCCCCAGCCTGAACAGGCATTGCTTATATGGCTCTATGTTTAGATACTTATCTGCCCCCTGTTACTGTAGTACCTGAGAACCTCACAATCTTTAACGTACTTCACAACATTCCCGTGAGGCTAGAAGTGCTATGGGTGGGAAGCTAAGGCACCAGAAGTTTAAGTGATTTGCCCAATATCTGACTGGCAGAGGAGGGAACTGAACCCATATTTAGTAAAACCCTTGATGGCAGTGGGAATGGCTCAGAAGTCATTGAGTCATATGGTCCACAGGATCTTCCCCACTTCCCGGACACATGAAGAAGCCAGTCCCATGTGGCTTCTGAGGGAAGGGTAGGACCTCCTCGCAGAACTAGCAACGTTCCAGAAGAAGGGGGAATGGGTTCCAAAGAAACAGAAGCCAACAAGTAATGCAGGACAGATGAAAGGTGCAAGGATGAGAGGAGGCTGAAATGGACAATGAAAGAGATCCAGAGGGGGAACGTGGAGCAGAGAATCCTGGAGAGCACCCATTGATCCAAGAAGAGATTGAGGGAGCCAGTGGATGAACTCTGGAGCGAGGGCAAAGAAAATGAAAAGATCCCATCTTGACTCTTAGATCTTAGAGAGGCTGGGCTTGCGGAGCTGGCATTCAAAGAGCTTATAAACTGAGCATGTGACACAGCCTCGCTTTGAAATGATAAACACAGACCTGCCCTCCCCACCCATACGGCAATTTGCACAGAGACACTTTCCAGAGTAGACCTGTACCTTGCGCTTCATTTTTTCCTGTGTGTTCATTGCATGTACATGTGTGTGTGTGTGTGTGTGTGTGTGTGTGTGTGTAGTTTAACGCGTGCCAAGCTCAGAGAATCAGCCCCTGGCTGAGGGAAGGAGCAGATCCAGCCCCTTGCATGCCTACTGCTGTCACTCCCTGGCTCCTCCAGTCCAAATGCAGAATCAGATGAGCCAGAACACAAGGGATATTTTTTTTCACACCTCTTGAATTCTGAAAGGGCCTAGGCCCCAATGCCCAGTGTCAAAGGGAGTCTGATGTTTTTGCCACATGACAGTACTAGAGTGTCAAGACCCTCACCACTGAGGGAATTGCTGGCAGACCTTGGGGACAAACCTGGTTGTCTTATTTTTAAACAAACCTTTTGCATTCAAAAAATGGCCTTTGTTGCGAAAAGAAATATTTTCATTATTTTTAATCTGTTAATTTCTTATTATTGTCATTCAACCTGAAAACAAGACCATTTTGATTTCAGGTGTTTTCTTTTTTCTCCCTCTTTTCACCCAATTTTTCAGTGGCAAAAATCAAAAAAGGGAGAGGGAGAGAGAAAAAAAAACCTTAAAAACCCACATACTGAAGAAATGAAAAGTTTCAAACCCCTAAATTGCTCTACAAATTTCATATTTTTTTTCAAAATTTTCTATTATTTTCAAAGAAATCTAATAATAAACATTTGTAAAAAGTTTTTCCTTCTTTTATCCTTTTTGCTTCCTTCTTCCTCCTCTTTTTCAGTGGCAAAAGAAGGGGAAAGTTTTTTTTTTTTTTTTTTTAAAGACGAGGAAAGAAATCAAAATCAAAAAGGTTTTTAGAACCAAACATTCTCTACAAAAATGTATTTGATTTCAAAATTTTGCATTGTTCTCAAAAAACCCAAGAGTTGAATTTTTATTTTATTTTCCCTCCCACCTTTCTTCAGTGGGGAAGAAAGCAAAGAAAAGGAGGGAAAACAGGGGGTGGAGGGAGAGTAAAAAGAAAGGAAAAACAAAAGATTTTATATTAAAAATGTTGCCAAAAAAATTGAAACCCATGGAATGAAAATTAATTCCCCCTCCAAAAATTTTTTGATCATTTTTCTGTCCAGAGGGAACACCGAGCCAAGTCTACAATACAAAATTTTGGCAACACAGCGGTGTTGGCTAGGACCCTCACTGACATAATTACACCTTCAAATCCCCCCATCCCAGTCCTGTATAGACTCAGCCTGTACGAGCAAGAGAGAGCATTTGCCAGTTTAGCTTATGACATTCAGGGAGGTGGCGTTCCTATGTCGGCACAATTCTTTTTGCTAGTATGTGTCACGTCTCCACAAGGGAGCTGTGCCAGTGTAGCTATACAAGCCATTGCACTGTACTAGCCCTTTCTTTAGTTTCACCAGACCTTCACTGGGCCTCTGCTTGTGATGCGTATGAGGGATCAGCAGAGCAAATCCTCAGAACTGGGATATCCCAGTCTTGCAGCAGACAACGGGGAAGCTGTGGGCGGAGCTAGAGAAACGAGGCCTTTGACAAAAGCCACGTCCCATATGGTGCTTGAGCTGGACTGGGTGTGCTCTGCTTAGCTGGGGCTCTCTCTTCCTTCTAGTCACCCCTCTCGCAGTAGCTG